CAAGAATCGTAACTGAATGCTTAATTTGATAAGAATTAAGAGATTTACTTCAACTACTTTATCTTATCTACCAAATCTATCCCTGTTTGTTAATTACATTCAAAATCCTTATCTAATTAAACAACATAATATTCTCTATTCAAAATCCTTATCTAATTAAACAAAACAATATGATATTCTCTATTCAAACAATCATTTCTAAATTTTTTAGGTCGAATTTATATGTTATATGAATTATTGGATTGTAATGTTTCTTTTAATGTTTTGCATAATATATTTCTTCTTTTATATTAATTTGATTTAAAAATAAATATTGTCTTTTTCATACCTAACAATTTTAAGCTAATTAAATCATAAGTTCTATTCCTTTTTGGATTAAAAGATAGAAAGGCAAAATTGTACAATTTAGCTTATTAAGTATTAAGTTATGAATATTTATCAAACAGTATAAATAGATTCAGCATTAAGATTCAGACATTCATAAATCCCTTTTCAGTACTTAAAATTCAGCAAATTAATTATTTCAGCATTCAGAATTCAGAATTCAGATTCAGTGTTATTAAACGGAGCCTAAACTCTGAGTTTGGAGAAAGCGAACAAGTGACTGGAGAATGGCAGAAGGGAATAGTGTAGGTATGAGCCAGATCAAGTATTTGCCAGCCTCAGTTGCAATTGCAGGATCTTGGCCAGTGAGTATTAACAGCTTGTTAGTGAACATCCACAGAAGGGATATTGGTATACAAACTATAAAGAGACATATGATGGCCCCAAAAGTATAGGTTCCAAGTCTCTGGTATTGTTCTGCTCCGAAAGCCTAACCACACAAGGTCTCCAGTGCACTTGACATCCCAAATTGCAAGATAGTTAATTTGTTTCATCTCTTAATAAACATGTTTCAAGAGCACATATCTAGTATAATCACAGATTATAAATGGAATCAAGCTTTGTAATGTGCAGTGTAAGTATTCATCATCATCATCAGCATCATTGTTAATGTTACTAGATTTTTTTTTATCTTAATGACAATTCTATTATGAATAAGCCATTTCTCTTGTATTTTCTGCAAGTAAATATGCAAAAGGCTATGTTACCTGTGTTCAACAATGTATCTAATTTGACTACTTCAACCTTTCTAGTAGAACAACGAGAAGGCATGACATACTATATGTGCACCATGTGGCATGCATCAGTACCTCACCAAGTAATGATAGTGAGTCATACCTTGTGATAACTTAGTGGTACAGGTTCTGCATCACCTAATAATTTATGTATGATTGGATCTGGTGTTAGAGACCCTGGTCCGCATTGGCCATTCTACATAAACAGTGCAGAGTCAAGAAGAGCCAATTTCTTGGTAGGGTGGGAGGTCAAGGGTTCAAACCTTGCCTCCCATCGCTTTACCAGTATATGTGGCTTCTCCAAATCTATACGGATATATAGTGCACCCATATAGTCCGATGATGATTCAATCCTGTCGGTTCTTCAATTGAGTCCAATTGGATTTCTCCCTAGAATAGGCAAGAGTAGGAGCAGGAGTAGAGTAGACAGTGATAGTTGACAAAAAAAAAAAGAAGAAAGAAGAAGAGCCAATTTCTGTGAGACACAGTTCTTGTAGGGTGGATTTATATCATACAGTTCCCTAATACACTACATTTTCTCATATTAATTAATTTTCCCTTGCTTTGGTTATCGAAAATATAGCATATACATCTCAGAGTATATATTCTAGTCCAAGACGAAGATTTGACTTACTATAATTTTGTGGATAATTAAATGATAATCTCAACAGCATGTATCATATGAACATTTTGGGGTATTATCTATTATGGGAAAGGACTTACAAGAACACTGAAGCCAGTAACATTGGAAAAAGATGTGGCAATGGAGGCACCAGAGAGTTGGAGTTGGCCAAGGTGGCCTAACATAAAGATTGGAGAAACTCTCAAGAGATATTGTCTCACTGCTGCTACCATCATCAGAAGTGCTATGCCATTTACCCTTTTCAACTCTTCCACATAAATCTTCCAAGTTGCCACCCTTGTTGATCCTGTCTCCTTATCATTTTCTGGCAGCAGCGCCTCTTCCATGCTCTCTCTTTTTTCTTGTAGGACAACTCTCTTGTACTTCCTGAATCTGGAGATTTTCTACAATATAAGAAATGAATATTATAGTAATATGTAAATGAACAACTAAACAAATATCTGCTTGACTGAACAGAAAGCCGTATCCATCACGAACCTGGAAAAAGAGGTACCAGAGAGTCGTTCAAAACAGTTTTCTAGCAGATGTGAGGAAAAATTCAGTAGAAACTTTTCTCCATCCTATCTAGCCTGAATCAACCATTTGCTGTTTTTTGTCCTTTTCTTATTGTTTTTCTTGCTGGGGAATCTGTAAATGCATACCATTATAGGAAGAGTATCTAAGAGCTCATTGCAAGTAAAAACTTAAATCCTTTCCATCTTTCTTTTTTTTTTCTTTTGGTTTCTCTTCTTCTTTTCTTCTGATTAGAACAAGTGAACCATAATGTCAGGACACAGAAATTAATTGTAAAAATGTTCCAATTGATTTTTCCCCAAGTTCCATATGTTGTTGTTTTGCTTACAATTCAGTAGATTCAGTAATAAGTAGGATGACGCCGCATTAAGCATGAACAAGCTAGGACGACGTCGTACGGTAGGAATAACAAAATTAGTTGCCGACTTAATGAGTCGGTTATTCCATCCTATTTGTACAGCTCTGATTGGTGGGAAAGGTATCAAAGAAGCATAACAGAATTTCCTTCCCTTTTTTGCTAATTTCTCTCTCTACTTTCCCTCTCTCTCAATTCCCTTCCCTTCCTTGTTTCCCTCCGTCCTCAAACTTAACAACCTTTCCCCAATTTCAGAACTAATTCACGAACTCAAGAACAGAAATGGATCTGAAAGCCTGACAAGTGGTGTCAGAGCAGGCTGAATCCTCGGAACAGTATTAAAAGGAAGGAAATTTAATTGCAGAAAGTACCAGATTCAAGACTTTGGAGGAGCAGATCAAGAAGCAAGAGATCAGAATCCAAGAGGTAATTGAAGGTCTGCAGTCCTCGCAACTATAGCAACAGCAAATGCAGAGGGAATTCCATATGGAATTAGAAGAAAATGGCAAGAGAGTAGAGAATTTGGTAGCTGAAATGAAGCAGGAGCTCAGTGCCTTCGTGAGAGTAGTGATAAGCAAGGACAAAGCGGTTCCAGACGATGACAGGCAAAGAGTGGAACAAGCACCACTCTTACCAACTCCACCATTGAACCAGAGGTTGCAGATTGGATCGGACAACAACAGGACCGCAAGGAAAGACACAAGTAAGATTCTAGTGCCAAATCCTCCTAGAATTGATTTACCTATGTTTACTAGTGAGAATCCGAGGGAATGGATCCGGAAATGCAACAAATATTGTCCAAATTACTAGATTCCTGAGGATCAGAAAGTGGAAGTTATAGAAATGTATTTGGAAGGAAAGGCAGATATCTAGTTCCAAGGAATTAAGTTGGAAAAACCAAGAATGTCTTGGAAAAAATTTGAGGAATTGCTGTATAGGAGATTTGACAGTAGAAATGGGAGAGATGTGATGGAGGAATTTAATAAATTGAGACAGGCTGGTAAGGTGGAGAAGTACTAGGAAAGATTTGAGGAGCTTAAAATTTTAATGATGATTAGAAATCCACATCTGGATGAGGAGTATTTTGTATCAAACTTTATCAGTGGCCTTGAGGATGAGATCAAAACCATGATAAGAATGCTAAAACCTGCAAACCTGTCAGAAGCATTTGAATTGGCTGCACTACAGGAAGAGGCATTAAGGCTTCAAACAAGGTCCCTCAAGGAGGGAGGAAAGGCTGCATCTGATGAGAAATTTGGAATCTCTAGGAACTCTTGCCAACACCAGATCATTAGTTCTCATTATAAGATACCTTCCACTAGCACCTTCAGGAATACTCCATTCAAAGGCAAAACAATGACTACTCCAGGTGCTGAATCTAGGAGACTCTCAGCAGAGGAGCTTCAATACAGAAAGAACCATGGACTTTGTTTCAAGTGTGGAGAGAAGTTTGGACAGTTTCATCAATGCAAATCTGGCCAGTTGAACCTGTTGATTAATGATGAAGAGGAGGAAATTGAGTTTGAAGATGCTATAGGAGAGCAAGATGAGTCCACAGGGAATCTAGGACAAGTCATAGAAATGTCCCTGCATGCTCTGTCAGAAGCCATAAAAAGAAAAACAATTACATTGGTAGGAAAGTGGGATGGAGAGGACATGCTCATATTAGTTGACACAGGAAGTTCAAATAGTTACATCAGTAGTGAGAAAGTGATTGCATATGACATCCCTTATCAATTGGTAGAACCATTTTCTGTGATTGTAGGAAATGAAGCCTGTGTGACTGGCAAGGCTGTCTGTCCCAAGGTGACATGGGAGATTAACCAGCGTAAATTTTGTTTTGATCTTAAGGTGATGGACATAAGTGGATGGGACATGATACTAGGCGTAGATTGGATGACTCATTTTAGTCCCATTACATTTGATATCCATCAGTTGACAATCTCCTTGCATAATCAAGGGGAAGTAGTGCAACTAAGGGGACAAGCAGAAAAATGTGATTTGGATCTCATTAAAGGAAGTGACCTGAGACACTTCATTGAATATAAGAAGCAAATATGCCTGGCCCTGAGGATGGGACAAGAAACGTTACCAGAAAATTCTGAGGTGCCTACTGAGGTTCAGCAGGTCCTTAAGGACTTCACTGATGTGTTTCAACCACTACTGAGTTACCTCCCACTAGGGAGATAGACCATGAGATTCCCTTGAAATAGGGATCTCAGGCTTTTAAAATGAGGCCTTATAGATATCCTCATTCACAGAAAGAGGAGATTGAAAGGCAGGTGAAGGAGATGCTGCAACATGGGATAATCATTAACAGTAATAGTCCATTTGCTTCACCAGTGTTACTGGTTAAGAAGAAGGAAGGGACATGGCGTTTTGTATAGATTACAGACGTTTGAATGAAATGACCATTGAGGATAGATATCCCATCCCAAATGTAGATGAACTGATCAATGAGTTAGCAGGATCCAGGTATAAAACCAAGTTGGATCTCACCTCTGGTTACCACCAAATCAGAGTCAAACCCAAGGATACTCATAAAACTGCTTTTCAAACTCACTGTGGGCACCATGAGTTTCTAGTTATGCCCTTTGGGCTGACCAACGCACCAGCAACATTCCAGTCCCTGATGAACCAGATCTTTCAGCCATACTTAAGGAAGTTTGTTCTGGTATTTTTTTGATGACATCTTAGTTTACAGTGCTACACTTGAGTTGCATGTGGAACATTTGAGAACAATACTATCTGTCTTGAGGAAACATAGTCTATTTGCAAAGAGATCTAAATGCTCCTTTGCCCAGCAGAGGGTGGAGTACCTTGGGCACACCATCACTGAAAATGAAGTATCTATGGACCAGTCAAAAATAGAAAGGATTATGAACTGGCCTACTCCTAAGACTATCAAGGAGTTAAGGGGCTTTCTGGGGTTGACTGGGTATTATAGGAGGTTCATCAGGTACTATGGAGTCATCTGCAGGCCACTTATAGATTTGCTTAGGAAAGACAACTTTGTCTGGAAGCAGAGGCACAGCAAGCATTTGATTCACTAAAGAACATTATGTGTAAGGCTCCTGTACTTAGACTGCCAGACTTCAAGAAAACTTTCACTATTGAAACTGATGCTAGTGGGGGAGGTATTGGAGCAGTGCTGATGCAGGAAGGCCACCCCATAGCATTCCTGAGTAAGGCTTTATCACCTAGGAATGTGGGATTGTCAGCTTATGAAAAGGAGTTGTTGGCATTGGTGATGGCAGTGACTAAGTGGAGACACTTCCTACTAGGATATCACTTTGTTATCAAAATAGACCACCAGTCTCTGAAGTACTTGTTAGACCAGAAACCTACTACCACATTGCAGCACAAATGGTTGGCTAAGTTGTTGGGACTAGATTATGAGATTTAGTACAAAAAGGGGACAACAAATAAAGTGGCTGATGCACTGTCCAGACTGTATGATAAGAATGCAGATGAAATAACTCAGCAAGGGTCCTGCTTAGCTATCTCTTCTGTTACACCCCTATGGATCCAAGAACTTCAAAGGAGTTATAATGCTGACCCTCAATGCTAAAGTATTATTTCCCAACTATTACTGGATCCTGCTGCTCAGTCTCAGTACGAGTGAAATCATGGTTTATTAAAGTACAATGGCAAGTTGTATGTGGGGTCTAACACGGGACTAAGGGGTACATTGATCCAGGCTCTCCATGCATCTGCCATTGGGGGACACTCTGGACAAAGAGGGTGCTGGCAAAGGTTGAAAGCTTTATTCTACTGGCCTAATATGAAGCAGGATGTCATTAACTATGATCAAGTCTGTGATACATGTCAGAGGTTTAAATCTGAACATGTCCTTTATCCTGGTCTGCTGCAACCACTACCTGTGCCTAGATTAACCTGGACTCACATCACTATGGACTTCATAGAGAGCCTACCAGAATCTCAGGGGTATGATACTGTGATGGTCATCATTGATAGGCTGACCAAAGTGGGACATTTCCTAGTGCTAGCTCATCCTTTCACAGCCAAGCAAGTGGCTCAGCTCTTCCTGGATAATATCTTTAGACTGCATGGACTTCCAGAATCCATTGTCACTGACAGGGATAGAATCTTCACTAGTACATTTTGGCAAGAGCTTTTCAAGATGGCTGGGACAGAATTGAGGTATAGCTCTGCTTATCATTCTCAATCAAATAGGCAGAGCAAGAGGCTCAACCAGTGTGTGGAAACTTACCTCAGGTGCATGACTAGGGAGTTCCCTCATAACTAGAGCAAGTGGCTGCCCCTGGCAGAATGGTGGTACAACTCCTCTTACCACTCCAACTTGCAAATGACCCCTTTTGAGGCATTATATGGCTACAAGTCTCCTCCCCTATCCCTTGGTCCTCACCTTGACACCATAATTCCAGCAGCCTCTCAGCTACTCTAGGAGAGGTTAAGGATTTCCGGTAGTATCAAGGATCATCTCATCAAGGCACAGCAATGAATAAGGCATTTGCTGACCAGAAATGCACGGAAAGAACCTTTGAAGTGGGTGACTGGGTTTTCTTGAAACTGCAACCTTATAGACAGCAATCAGTGGCCATCAAGAAATGTCTCAAGTTATCTGCCAGATTCTATGGTCCTTTCCAGATAGAAGCTAGGATTGGGCCAGTAGCTTATTGTCTCAAGTTACCTGCTGGAGCACGCGTTCATCCAGTATTCCATGTCTCGCTACTCAAAAATAAGATAGATCCCCTACAGTCAGTTGCTACCACTGTACCTGAACCTGACTTGGATTATCAATGCCCCTTACTACCTGAACTGGTGCTTAGGAAAAGGGCGATTATGAGGAATGGACAGTCAGTCATTCAGTACTTGATCAAGTGGTGCCATCTCAGCAAGAAAGAAGCTTCGTGGGAAGACAAAGACTTCATCCAAGCTTAGTTTCCTCAATTCAAGTCTTGAGGACAATACTGTTGAAAAGAAGGTGTGATGCGGTTGAGCACGAGACCCATGGTGCTCAAATGGACCCTATGAATGTGCCCCAAGGCCCAATGACACAAACACGAATTAAGAGATTCAAGGAGTCACTTCAAGTCTTGGTTCATGCCGTCCAAGCCCAAGAGAAACCGTCCATTGAAGGGATTGAGTTAGAAGATCCTTGCAAGACTACTAAAGTGTTGCTTACAATTGAAGATGCAAGTGTTCAAGTTTTAAACAGCGGATTGGACCGTAGTTAAGTCCCTCCGCTGAGCTGTCGGTATATATATTGTTGGGCCAATTTTCGGCCAAGAGAGAAGCCCAAGGGCTGGCCGAATTTTCTTCATGTTTTCCAAACTTTACTAGGGTTTAGTCAAGGCTATAAATAGCCTTAAGTGATGTTTTACATTCAGTTTTGCAATATTATTAATAAAATTCTAGAATTTCGTCTTCCATTAGGGCAAATTTCTTTAGCTTGTGAAAGCTAAGTTGAACCTCCTAGCGTGGTTCCTAGGTTGTTTCTTGACTTATCAATCAAGCAAACATACTTGATTGTGGCATCCTCTACCGTTGAAGTCGTTCTTGAGTGGTCCAAGTTCAGATTCAACTCCGTCAATTCCGCAACGTGTCCTCTAAGATCCTAAGTAGCTTCCGCATCTCGTATCATCTAGTATCAGAGCTAGTAGAGGTATCACGTATATCCTTCTTTTTATTGTCTTCAAATCTGTCCTTTACGTGTTAGGGTTTGTTTGTCCAAGTCCGAAATCTGTTCTTGTTTATCTTCGCGTTCGTTTGTTGTGATAGTTGCTATCCGAAACTTCTGCCCAACCTTGTCGTTTGTTTTGGTGCTTGAATTTCTGTTTGGTGTCCATAACTCTGTGGGTTAGTCGTGTTTTGTGTCTTGACCAGAAAAAAAAATATTTTTTTTGCGGCGGCTAGGGTTTCCTCTTATTGCATCTTGCGTGGGTTGTCCTTGTATCGCAAATCTGTCCAGCTTGTTTGTTCCGTTATTTGCTGTGATATTGTGGTCTATTCTAGTTGCTGTCTTGTGTCGTTGGGGTTGCAAAACAACCCAGCAAAAATATAAAAAAAATGGAGGTGATTGCATACCTTGCTCTTGAAACATATTGCTGGAATCTGCTTTAGGTGTGGCTGCCGAATCTGTTTTGCCCTTGTTTCCAGAATTGTCGCCGTGTTGTTTCTTACAAATCTTGATTGCCAAAACATATTTGGAGTAGTTCTTGAGCTTTTTGAACAAATTTCTTGAAGTTCTTGGATCACCAAAGGCTGATCTTGGAAGTTCTTGAAGCCTTGTTTCAGCTTTTGGGGTCTCTTGACCCTTAAGACATTCGGCCATATTGCCTTGGCAAGCTGTGATTTGAGAACCGAATTTGGGACTGGAATTGCATGGTTGAAAGGATCTGATTGAGCCAAAAAAAAAAAAGAAAGAACGAAAAAAAGAACAAAAAAAGAAAGAAAGAAAGAAAAGAACAATCGGCTCTCCAAGAAACTCTAAGTTTCCCATTCTTGATCAACCTCCAAGTTACCAAATCTGTTTCAAACTTTAACTTCCAAATCTGATCAGCCCAAGACTTCGAATTTTGAGCAACTTGGGATGCCCAAATCTGACCAAACTCTAAGGTTTCCAATCCTTGGCAACCTCAAGTGTCCCAATCAGATCACACTTTCCAAATTCCAAATCTTGAATTCTTGAACCTTCCTCAAATCGATTGGAGCCCTTGTGACACCCGATTGGGCTGAGTTTTGGGGAGCAGATTACCATCATTTGAACACCCTAAGGCCACCCAAAATACCACAAAACACTGACCAAAAAGGCCCCGACCCAGCAGCTCAACCAAATTCCAGAAATTGGGGTTCAAGGGTAGAGTTTTCTAGGATTCTCAAAATTTCAGCCTTGAAGTCATTTGTCTTGCTTTCTTTTTGAGTCATTCGTTATTGTTAGTCCTAATCCGAGTTTTAGGTCGTGTCTAGGCCCTCATTCACCTCCATTCATTGCCACTATTTTGTGTCACTCGTTGAATAGTCAAGAACGAACCTTGCGATGATGCCCAGTTTGTTCAACCCAAGCAACTAGCAAGCCAAGGAATTGCTTGGTAAGATTATTAGAGAGTGATACACTTGAATGAAACACGAGAGTGAGTGACCTATATATTGTATAAAACAAGAGGAAGTCGCTTTGTTTTATTTTCTTTTGCAGGTATACCTAAGCATGTCTAGTAGAGTTGGTGACCAAGCAATGGACCGTCAACTACGCCTAGATGCCATGATGGGGAGTTCAAGAAATTGCTTAAAACATCCATTGAACCATTGCATGACCGGATTGATCAGTTGGAAAACTCGAGGAATCTACATAGCTCGAGTAAAGGCAAAGAATCGGTGTACTCCAATGATGAAGAGGATCCATTTGAGGGGAGGTACCAAACTGATCACCGTGCACAAAGGCAAGGAAAGGACGCCATTAAGGGTGTCAAACTCAAAATTCCTTCCTTCCAAAGCAAGTCCGATCCCGAAACTTACTTGGAATGGGAACGAAAAATCGAATTGGTCTACGAGTGCCACACTTACATGGAGGAACAAAAGGTAAAACTTGCAGTCATGGAGTTCACTGACTATGCATCCATTTGGTGGGACCAATTACGACTAAGCCGAAGGAGAAATCGTGAGAGGCCCGTGGAGACTTGGGATGAGATGAGAAGCTTCACGAGGAAAAGGTTCGTGCCGAGCTATTATAGCTGAGACTTGCACCGGCAATTACAATCGTTCACACAAGGTTTCTTGTCAGTCGAGAACTATTACAAGGAAATGGAAATGGCGATCATGAAGGCGAATTTGCATGAGAATAGTGAGGCCACAATGGCTCGATTTTTGCATGGCTTGAGACCTGAGATTGCCGAGGTAGTGGAACTCTAACACTACCTCGACATGAATGAAATGTTGGAGAAGGCGGTTACAGTTGAATGATGCCTCAAGAGGAGGAGTAGTGCTAGATCGAACACTACATATCAAGCTAGAAACTAGCACACACCTCAACCAAAAAGGAAGGAGAAGCCTATGACTCCTTCTCAACCCC